AGGTCTCGTAGTCAACGGTGTCATATTGGGAAAAACCCAAGATAATGGACGGAGAGCATCATCTTCGGTAATATTCTGCATAAATTGAATGTTCATGTTTGTTTTCGCTGGGGAAATATTACCACTCTGGCTCTCTTTTTTACCGGAAAACGTAACAAATTCCGCAACGGGCTTTTATTTAAAATAAAGTTAATGAATAGATAAATAGATAGGTACTAACGTATTCACCTCATGGTAACTAAACATGAACGAATTTAATAATATACCTTACCGTCTTGCATAATATACATTCAGAATATGTTTTGAAAGAACTTTTGACCGTATTTGAACGTAAAATATGAACACATGATTCACACATTCTTTAATTCAAGAGAAAATTGATAACCATTATTTATTATTTCTATTTGATACCTGTAATAGGAATAAAAATTACCTATGACCACAAGGTTTCAATAAAACATTCCCATGGATACACGCGATGCAGCTAGTTCGCGAAGAAGTTTTTGGAATAACGTAGTCATGCGCGGCCTTTCCCTGCGTGGAAACCACCCTAACGGTTGGTGGCTTAATTAAATTAGACATCAGTAATTGTCGGGAAGAGACCGAATGGGTTTGAGGCAATGAAACGGGCATGATCTGATCGAATGGAGAAGCGATTGGTGAACTTGGAGTTGTACGACCTTCTTCGGGATTCTCATCCACCGTTTCCAGCTTAAAATCCAATTGCGATTATATAGTTACATAGTGAGTAAAAATGAACAATTAGTGCGATTATGTGTACATTTATTTTTTTACTTACTCGACTCAATGAATCCTTTAAATGAATGTTAAAAGGTAAGGGTCTGCCATCGTTCCTGAATTTTCCCGAGGCTTTAATTTCAATAGATTCTTCAGTGATAGAAGTGGAACTGGTTTGACCGCTCGATTGACTAGAGTGACCCGATGACGCTGATTTGTCAGAATCAGCAGGACTAATTTTCAAATTGTTGTTTTGGGGGCTGTTTTCCAATAGGCGTCGATACTGATACTAAAACACATATGATTTTTTGATTTTTTGATTTTTTTTTGTTTTTTGTTCTCGAATAAGTTTATTAACACAAAATAATAATAAATCACAAGAATACAAAAAAAAAATTTTTTAAGATGTTCATAAACAAATTTTGAGTGCATAACATGAGATATCAAAGATATTTGACGCAACGTTGCAGATAGCACCAAAGGATGAAATGATATTTATGTTTTTGTGTTTGTGTATCATCAAGTATCAATAAAATCATTACCACCTTCATTAATATGTTTTGATATTTCGTCAAGCGCCTTATCAAAAGCTTTGGCGATATCGTTCTTGTCCACTGATATCATAGCTGGCCTTTTAGGGATAGTTGTTGGAGTTTCTTCTTGTAAACTGTTTTGCTCTTGATACATGATTATCCTTTTTTTGTAAAGGTATGTAAGAACTTTAACGCGTTTTTCCAAAATAGCCGTACTTCTTGACTTACTTGCAAAGAGAGACAGCACTTTTCAAGTAAACCGCCAAAGAAGTTGAAAAAGTAAGTAGGATAGTAAGTGACTACTGCCTAATAAGAACTTGCGGTCCCAACTAGTGAAATATGAAAGGAAAAAAAGAAAGGAAAGAGAGATGTGCTTAAATTTGATGTATAAAAGGAATGTGTATTTATCATTACTTTTCTTACGTTTTACTATCCTCTTAGAACCAACCTTGATTCGATCTGGTAAATGAAGTAGTCTTATATTTATATGTAGGTACTTCGTGAGGTAGTCAAGTAATATGACGTAATCGTCGATTAAATAATATTGATTCAAAAGAAGTTTGTTGAAGTATATTGTGTTGTGTTAGAAATCTTACAAATTCACTGATAGTAATTATGATCTCTTATGCTTTATCTATTGTCCCAAGAGTATAATTTACTTTTAACGTTCGTATTAAAGCGCTCTATAACGCGTGACGTAGATTAAGAAATCACGTAAATAGAAACCTCAAATTTATTATACTTTAATAGTACTTATTAATTGGCATTGTTTTAATGACTTAGAAACAAAATATAAAGAGAATAAAGATAATACAAATATATTGAATAATAGTTCAACTTCTCACGATTTTCCAGTTAACATCTTTTTTTAGAAATATCGCACACTTACTATTTATATTTTTACAATCAACAAATACCGATGCGGTTTCAAAGTAATAAAATTAATGCGCAAATTTTATACACTTGCTAAATATTTGATAATACTTCATATCATCATTAATGCAAAATTGTCATGACTTTCGGGATTTAATTTTTCTCACACAAAGATATATATATTTTATAAATTCATATTCACGTCTTTATGTCTCAAATCTTAATTTCTTACAACCATTTCTATAGGTTAATTTATTCGCTTTAACCTTTTGAGTACCGTCTTACACGATTTTATCACTTGCTAATAATAAAATTACAAGTCTCATAAAGATCTTCAATCTGGTATTCATTACGTTAAGCTTTCCTAATAAAGTTTAATATATACAAATAAGTTAACATTCCACGTTTCTATAATGAAACAGTGGTACCTCTTCAAAAATCTTGTAAAGGTCGTAATAAAAACTATCGTACTATAAACTTCTATAAACTTGCGTTATTAAATTAATAACTTGTGCTAGCATATATTAAACATGAGGCTTAGAAGTTTACTGAGTAGTCAAGCAGAATAAAAAAAAAGCATCTATATCATACCGATACGACAAAATCACTTTTAACTACGTACGTACTTACGTATTTCATAACTAATTCTCGAAACACAACTTTTTGGTTCAAACATGTATAATAATATAAATTCTATATACCTTTTATATAAGAAATTTTTAATTTACACTATGTAGGGTATAAAACACGGATATAATTGGCAAACACATAATACAAATTTAAAAGCAAAACGTTAGATTAGGTTAGAATTTAAAGATTTGGTACAGTATATGTTTATATGTATTTCAAATACGTATATACTGTATATAGTTTATAAATAAAATTTTAATATTATATTACAAATATGTACATACATATTTTATATACTATATATAGTGCATGAATAAAAAAAATTTTATACTGTATATGCAGCATTATTTTTAAAAAATTGATTATTTAGAGAATATTTATTCAGTTACATACGGGTACATACGTGTTTAAATCCTGCCATCAAATATGAACTCGTGTAATTAGTTATTTATTATACTGTATTACAATAACTATTTCTTAAACCGTTCAGTTTAGTGAGCAAATGTGCTTGCTAAAATTTTATAAATTTACTAGGTGCTTCGACCCGTTGTTAAACAACGGGTATTGTGATACAAATCGAACATCTAAATTTTTATAATATATATATTTGATTACTTTAAATAAAAATATAATTATATATTGTGTAATACTGTATTAACAAATTAAAATGCAAATAAAAACAATTTACAAATAGGATTAAACAACAATATTAATATATTAGATCTAGCAAAAACAAATATCACAAATAAAAAAATTTACTTTTATCAAAAAGTTTTTAATTTTAAAAATTATTAATTAAATACAAGCCTATACAAAAAAAAACTTAAAAGTAAATTTTAATAAGCAAATAATAAAAAAATATTTAAATTAAATATTGTAAATAAAATAAATAAATATTTATTTATTTATTTTCTTTATTAGCAATTTTACTAGTATCTTTATTAGATTAAAGCATATATTATAAAATATATTAATTATCTAAGCTGTAAAACTGATATTATTTGGCTGCTTTAGTGAGTACTTAAATGCAGTTTGCTTTATCAAATAAGGCTTTATCTATACTAGAAAGCTATACTAATCTAGCTAGTTTTTTTTTTTGAATTTGCTGTATACAAAATAAGATTAGTTACAGATTGTATCAAGATGATATTAATTTAAA